TAAAAATAAAGAAGATCGAGAAGTCGAGACCATTAATGATGTTTAATTTTTTTAGGAATAATGATTATATTTTTAAAGGAAGAAGAAACGAAGTAATATTAGGCAACTGATGATTAGTGTGTTCGACAGAGAAAACCTTAGAGAAAGTACTGGCGAGGACTTCGGTATTCTCGTAGATATTTTGGGATATATTCCCGTTATCATTTTTCAGTAAAGTTATAGAAACTTTTGTTATCAACGAAGATCTAATATACTTGTACAATTTTTTACAGTTATTACTAATGGTTATACTCTTTTCGTAGGCAATACAAGCTTCATAAAGACATTTCTTTAAATCTTTGGCAAAGTCTCGATGAATTAGTAAATCCTTTATGCGATTTGTACGTCTATATTTGTTCCACAACTTTCTTTTATACTTGATCAGATATATTAATTCCCCATTAAGTTAAGGTTTTATGTTATTTTTGTATATAGTTTTTTTTTTTTGAAGGTATTTGGTTTTTGCAGAAACTAACAACGTGTGACAATTCATCCCAGAATACAACTGGATTCCTTATGTCACCGAAAACATCATTCCAATCAATATCAGCCAGTTGGCGATTTGCGATTTTCAAAATCAATTATTTCATATACCGTTTTATTAACATTAGGATTAGGAGTGCAGTACTGTAAGTTAAACTGAATATGAAACGTTATGACTGCATGATCTGAGTTACCTACTGGTGAGCTTATTAGGGGATGTGTTAATAAATGGGGATCATTAGAGAATACCAAGTCCAAAATGTACTCGCTTCGGCGGTACATATACTAAAATTGGAACGATACAGAGAAGATTAGCATGGCCCCTGCGCAAGGATAACACGCAAAATCGTGAACCGTTCCACATTTTTATGTAACAAAGGTGTTAATTTTCTTAGAATGACAACCAAAGTGTGGTGGGGTTGCGATGTTGAAACATCCTTATTGTTTTACAGAGCTTATATACGATCCATTATAGATTATGGTGCTACTCTTTACGGTTCTGCATCTAGAAATCTTCTAAGAAAAATTGACATTTTTCAAAATTCTGTCTTAAGGGTCTGTTTAGGTGCTATGAGATCTACCCCTATACAACCACTACATGTTGAAGCTTATGAACCTCCTCTTTCGATTAGAAGAAATTTATTAAGCGAAAAATGGGTACTCAAAGCCCACTCAACATATCCCAAATTATTTTCCAGTATACGTCAACTTAACGAATCAGATCTCACTCATAAATATTGGATTAAGAAGCCGTCTCCACCTTTGTGCACTGCTTTACAGAACAATTCAATTTTTTTCAAAAAATTTGGCCAAAGTGGAAAAAAATTTAGACTTCTTTGCTCTCTTCCATAAAGCTGAAGTTATAATACCCACATATAGTCACAACAACAAATTGAGCAACAATATTCTGAGATCTGTTTTGACCTGTTATAGTGATGCCACAGTTATATACACGGACGCATCCAAATCAATAGAAGGGACTGGCTGTGCCTATTTTCTACCCTCAGGAGGTTCGGAATTTAAGTACAAACTTTCCAAGGAGTTTTCAATTTTCTCGGCGGAATCATTGGCTATACTCGAAGCTTTAAAATATGTTAAAAACTCTTATATTAAAAAATCGTTAATTCTTTCAGACTGCCTTTCAGTTCTACAGAACATAAAAAAACACTTCTTTGCCCAAAACATTTAGTAATCCTTATATTTTTCTAATAAAAGATCAATTAAAGCACTTAGTAGACTCTGGCTTTAATATAAAATTTATTTGGGTTAAGGCACATATTGGACTCAAAGATAATGAACATGTAGATTACTTAGCTAAAAACCAGTATAATATCAGGCACTTTATTGCCATATTCTTTATGTGTATCAGATGCCATTAGGATATTTAAAAAAAACCAGCTAGCGACATGGAAAGATCAATGGAATCTTTACTGCCTTACAAACCAAACAAGATACACCACCTTACAACCAGTTATTCCACAAACTACTTGGTTTAAGAATTTTAAATCTCCACGTAAATATATAACCACCATAAATAGACTACGCTTTGGACATGCGTGTTATCCAAGTCATTTATATAAAATAAATGTGATTGGAGATGATAATTGCAAACATTGCGGAAAACTGGGTGATCTTGATCACATCTTTTTTGAATTCCCTAAGTTTCAACAGCATTCAAACTCTCTCTACAAAAAATTAATCGAATTTAATATGTATGCACCATTCAATATTCAGTCGCTACTGGCGACAGGCTCACAAAATATATATAATATCATTATAGATTTCTTGTCAGACACATGCATGGTTCTATAGAATTTGTACTCGAGCATGAAATTCTTCATGATCGTGTGGAAATTTAGATTTGTATCCTTTGTTTACCCTAAATTTTATAACACCTTATCCGTGGTCCAGTTTTGTTTGTCTACTAAAAATGTCTTGATGGGCCCCTAGACGAGAAGCAAGTGACCCTGTAAGTTTCCTTGTCGTATATTCTTCTATTAATTATCCGTTAGTTTTCGATTAGGGATAGAATTGTGCATTTGTCTGATTGGAGAATCTATTGCAACTGGCTGAATGACTAATGTCAATGCCATTAAAAAAAAAAGTCCAAAATAGATAGTAAATTATTGATTATGAAACGAGTCGGCTCCGTTATGAATTGATGTAAATTAGAATTTAATACAAAATCTGTAAATACATTTTTAGAAGTTGTTAAGCCACTAGATGGATCAGTTATATTCCACGAAATATCTCTAAAATTAAAGTCTCCAATAACAATCAGATTCTTAAGCCTAGACAGTTCATCAAGTGATGTGATAAGGGACTCATCATCTGCTAACGACAAATTTGGGGTGTCGTGCTTTATATTTATACTACTACTACTACTTTTTGGTTTATAACATTCTCCGCCATTTTCCGACTTCCAATCGTCAGTTAGTCCGATTGTTCCATAGGTCTTCTTCTATGACCCACTCTCTTAATTCTTTATTGATTCCTTTGCTCCAACTTTTTCTCGGTTTACCTCGTTTGCTGTTTCCTTCTGGTTGCATTTTAAAATTTCCTTTGATATTCGTTATTCATCCTTTCTTTGTATGGGTTCAAACCAGAGAACGAGAATTCTTCTTCTTCTTTTTCTTTTGGCATCATAACCCTGGATGGGTCTTTGCCTGTCTGGCTATGTCCTTCCATTCAGATCTCTCTTGTGCCCTTCTTCTCCATTGTCTTATGTTCATTGTTTTCAGGTCGTCTTCCACGTCATCCAACCATTTCGTTCTGGGCCTTCCTTTTTTTGCCTTCCTATGGGCTTCCATTGTAACATTTTCTTTGTTGCTTTTGCATCGTTTTGTCTCTGCACATGTCCCAGCCATGACAGTCTTTGACTTTTCACAAAACTTACAATGTCATAACCTTCATTTAACTTATTAACCTCGTCGTTTCTCCTGATTCTCCATGTGCCATCTTCCTCTTGTACCGGGCCATATACTCTCCTCAGTATTTTTCTCTCGAATGTCCTGAGTTGGGCTTCATCTTTTTTCGTCATTACCCAAGTTTCACGTCCATAGGTTACTACGGGTCTAATCAGTGTTCTGTAGATAGTCATTTTGGTTCTTTTGTCTAATAATTTCGATGTCATCAATCTTTTATTAACATAGTATGTACGATTCCCGCTGGAAATACGTGCATTAATTTCGCTACTTACGGAGTTCTTCTGATTGATTTCTGTGCCGAGATATGTAAAGGCATCCACTCGTTCGATAGTATAGTTGTCTATTGTGATATTATTTTCATTGTCAGTTATTCTTTTTACTGTCATATACTTCGTTTTTGCTTCTTTTATTTTGAGACCTCTTTTTCTTGCTTCCGGATCAATTTGTTTGAACGAGAATTGCTGCCAATAAAAGGAAGACAAACTGCTTATCTGGGTCATATAGGGGCATCAGAAGAAATAAATACTCGTGGCTTAAAAACATAAGAGATTGGATAAACCTCGATGCTCATGCACACTTTAAAGCCACGCAAGATCCAGAGGAGTATGCCAGAATGGTAGCCAACATCCACTGAGTGGATAGGGCACCATAAGAAGAAGAAACCATGTAAGTTGTTTTGTTGTTAGGTCATCTGTGATTGTTCGTTTGATTCCCATTATTTCTTTAATACGTTCGTTGGTAATTCTTTCTCTTCTAGACCTTCCTGAGGTTCTTCTCAAAAAATCCATTTCTGTCGCTTTCGGAAATCCATAAAATGCTGAGATTTTACATCATACTCGCTGATTTTAAAATGCTTGGCAACACCGCTTTTTGACAAGCAGTAATTTATTACAGTAATTAGCCATGAAAAATATTTGACTTATTATTGTTAGCTTTTTAAATTGTTATCTTTCCTTATATTTATGTCATAATTAAGTCTAAATATTACTTTTTAGCAATATTTAAGCAATACTGTTAAGCAATTTTTTAGTAGTAAATTGAAACAAGTTAATTGATAGCACTGTATTTGTTGTTTAAAAAATATTTCGCACATTATTATTGAAACAAATTGTGATAAACATAGTGAATCATTTCTCACGGTAATTATAACTTTGAGTTTCGAAAACGAGTTTTTAAAATTATTTTATTTTGAAAATACAAATCTACAAAAGTTAAACAAACAGAGTTTACAGGCAAAAGTTAAAGCAAAAGTTATGTAGCAAAAGTTATCTTAATTGAAATGTCCCTCTATTTATAATATAATATTGCGTAGTTTCTATTGTCCTATAATGTTCAGATTCTGTGGAATCCAGTGGCGTAACTCGGTGTTTATAGAAGACTTCTCAGTAATAATAACAAAAAAAAAGTATTTAGGATATTCCTAAACATTTGATGAATGCCGGTTACATAGAATTTTTATTTTTTTAGATCAAAATCTTCTAATTTACATAAAATAAATGAATAGGACGATAAGTAAATTCAAGGAAAACTAATCCTGTAAAAAGATTTAAAATGTTAATTCAAGGAGTGTTGAATGTGACTCTTTGTGCACTTTATGCCCAGCCAGGTAAGACTATATGGTCTATATCTAACATTTATGTATGCCATATTTAAGAAGTCGACGTATCTAGCGAAGACTGTACGATATCTTATTTTTTTTTTAATTTCGAATACAGCAAGATAAATTTTTGATTAATGCAAAAAATCGGTGATTCTTATTTACGTAATTGTTTTTATACAGGGTGAGTCATAACTATTGGGACATAGACTAAGGACAGGTTATTTGGACCAAAATATGGCTATTGGGCCAAATATGCCTTAATAAAATGTTGCTGAGAAAAAAGATACAGGGTGTTAAAGTGGAAATTTAAAATTTTATTTTTGGCTATAACTTTCATGTTTGCAAACATTTATGTATAAAAATTTACAGCTGGGTACTATTGAATATCAGAAATTATAATTTGATGCACACTTTAATATATCTAATAGAGAGCGCCACATATGCCACATACGTGGCATATATTTACACTTAACTTTTTTGTTCTTCAAGTTACCGGTATTTTTGATAATAAATATTAAAGATACGTTATTTTACCAAAAAAATGGTATACTTGTTAATAACTTCAAAACTCAACAGTTTTCGAGATAATCGCATTTTACAAATCAACTGCATGATTCTGATTTAACACAATTACTCCAGACAATGAAAGAAAAATAGATAAAAACATCAATACTTCTAAATTTTGTTATTAAATACCTTTAATAAAGTCAATATTTAACGAAATATTAAATAAAATAAATATATCAGCAGGATAATTAATAATAGGATTTGATAAAATAACAGAATAATTGGATTTTACATCAAACATTTTACCTTTTGTATTAAATTAAAGTCATAATCAAAACATTTTATTTACAAACCAAATTAAATAATAGTTAAACTAAATAACATTAAACTTTTTGTCAAAGTAAGTGTTCGATATGTCCACCATTTTCTTTAATTCATTTGTCAATACATTCCATAAAATATCGTCTCATATTAAATAGCATCATTGGTTCTAAAGAAACTGCTGCAGTATTTATTCTAGTTGTTTTGAGTATAATAATAGGTAATTTTTTGAAATTTCTATGCATTAAATAGTTATTATTATCTCACCATAAGAATATGACTGCCACGAACAATCCAACGTTCAGGAAAGTGTATTTAAACACTGTCTTACTCCGCTTTCTCTGTAATGTAATGGTGTACCATCTTGTAGAAACCACATATTTCGCCTTAAGTTTGATGACAATTCTTTCAATAAATCAATAAAATCATTTTATAAAAAATGTACATAAATCTCTTTACTAAAAATTGGCAACAAAGAGCACAAAATCGTAAGGAATGGAGGAGTTTAAGGGAGGCCTATGTCCAGCAGTGGACGTGATAAATAGAGGCTGGATGATGACATAAATCTCAACATTTAAATTAAAAGTTAATTCGCATATCTGTAAAATATCGTTCAAAATTCATATTTACAATGCATGTCATATGGTTTGGAACCATTGATAATTATTTTTTTCGGATATGCGAATTACCTTGCAATTTGAATGTCGAGATTTATTTACATTTTTTATAAAATGATTTTATTGATTTATTGGAAGAATTGTTATCAAACTTAAGGCGAAATATGTGGTTTCTACAAGATGGTACACCATTACATTACAGAGAAAGCGGAGTGAGACAGTATTTAAATACACTTTCCTGAACGTTGGATTGTTCGTGGTAGTCATATTCTTGTGGTGAGATAATAATAATTATTTAATTATTATTATCTCACTATTAATAAAAATTTCAAAAAATTACTTATTATACTTAAAACAACTATAATAAATACTGCAGCAGTTTCTTTAGAACCAATGATGCTATTTAATATGAGACGATATTTTATGGAATGTATTGACAAATGAATTAAAGAAAATGGTGGACATATCGAACACTTACTTTGACAAAATTTTAATGTTATTTAGTTTAACTATTATTTAATTTAGTTTGTAAATAAAATGTTTTGATTATGACTTTAATTTAATACAAAACGTAAAATGTTTGATGTAAAATCCAATTATTCTGTTATTTTATCAAATCCTATTATTAATTATCCTGCTGATATATTTATTTTATTTAATATTTCGTTAAATATTGACTTTATTAAAGGTATTTAATAACAAAATTCAGAAGTATTGATGTTTTTATCTATTTTTCTTTCATTGCCTGGAGTAATTGCGTTAAATCAGAATTATGCAGTTGATTTGTAAAATGCGATTATCTCGAAAACTGTTGAGTTTTGAAATTATTAACAAGTATACCTTTTTTTTTTGGTAAAATAACGTATCTTTAATAGGTTTTAACAAGAATACCGGTAACTTGAAGAACAAAAAAGTTAAGTGTAAATGTATGCCAGGTATGTGGCATATGTAGCGCCCTTTATTAGATATATTAAAGTATGCATCAAATTATAATTTCTGATATTCAATAGTACCCAGCTGTAAATTTTTATACATAAATGTTTACAAACATAAAAGTTATAGCCAAAAATAAAATTTTAAATTTCCACTTTAACACCCTGTATCTTTTTTCTCAGCAACATTTTATTAAGGCATATTTGGCCCAATAGCCATGTTTTGGTCCAAATAACCTATCCTTAGTCTATGTCCCAATAGTTATGACTCACCCTGTATTTATTCATTGTGTTTACCATATTGTTGTACCGTTTGTGCTTTTAAATATGTCAATTTTGTTTCTTTATCTGCTTTTTGAATGAGTTATCAGAGTATTCGCTGGAAAAAAAATCGGGATCGCTTCCTGCTATATTACTTTCCCACCAATTTCGATTTTACACCGTAATGGGTATTTAGATGTCATACATTTTGTTTTTTCTTTGTTCCCCAGTCTGTAGCCATAACATTTACGTACTGCTTGCACTATTTCGTCCATTATTATATTAAAGAGAAGTGAACTTAACGAGTCACCTTGTCTGATTCCGGTTTGTACTGGTATACACTGTATTAGTTTTCCACTTATCTTTTCCTGTATTCGATTATGGAAGTAGATGTTTTAGATGATTTATATAATATTAATTGGTATGTTTCTTTCATACAGTAGGTGTAAGCTGGATGCGACCAAAAGCGTTTGTCAGATCTATAAAACATAGATATGCTGGTTTATTGTTCTCGATGACCTTTTCTGTGATTTGTCTTAGTACAAATACGGCGTCTACGCAGGATCTTCCGCATCTGAATTCTTGTTGTTCATCTGATAAAGTTGTAAGTTTATCGATTTTGTTGGTTAGGACTTTTGTGGTAAGCAAGTGCGATGTTCAGTAGATTTATACCTCTATATTTGTTGGGGTCTTTTTTATCTCCTTTCTTGGACATAATTGGTATCATTATGCTGTTTCTCCATGTAATAATATCACTGGCAACTGTATTTTCTTTTCAATTATCCAGGAATAAAAACAATTTGCGATGTATTCATAAAATGTCTCTGACACCATCCAGCCAGAATCAGATTTACCTATGAAGAAATTACTAGACATAGCCACATCTCTCGGAAAGCTGCAACCACTTTTTTCCTGGTTTACCATCAGTAAAAGTAGTGATTCTGTTAGTCTCTTAAAATAAACTTGACTGCTGCATTTTGTACCTCTTCCGGATGCATGGTAAAACCAAGTTTGGCTTTTTCTATTATACAGTTCTCTAGTCTTTTTTCCTCATCTTTCGTAAGTGTAGCTTTGGTATTGTTCTGAAGCTATTTTCTTGTGGCATTGTGAATTAATTACTATTAAATTGGAAATAAGCCACAATTAAAGATAAAAATACGTTTATTTACGTTTCAATTTCCACTTTGGAAATCGTTCTCAAAATACAAACAGTAAATTAAACAAATTTTGTTTTTTGTTACATAAAATACGTGAAAAATTCTTCTAATAATTTAATTTTATCTGACTCATTTATATTGACAATTCAGACATACATTATGCATTTTAAAGTAGACGACTTTAAAATGATATTGCCAATATTGTTGAGTTGCGCTCCTGGAACGACTTTACTTATAAGATAGTTCATTCGATTACATGAAATCAACTTTAACTTGAGAATATCCGTCAGAAAAAAATCATAGCATGTAATTCGTCTTTAAAAAGACAAACACATGACATGATGACAGTAAAATTCTCCTGTTAGTGATTCCATAGTAAATTATGAGGGAAAAACCAGGAAAAAAAACCTCATAATACTATCCCGACATTGTAAGTATTTGTTCGTGAATTTAGTTTACCTTCAACAAACATCAAAATTCTGATTTTATATGTTACGTTATTTAAAAAACATAAATGATGTATCCTCTATATGTTACTGACTTACTAATACTGGTATTTTCTTATTAATAACTTCCTCTTTTAATATTGGTAACCAGATCCTACTACATTCTGCCGAGGAATTTGCGACACAATAGGCTTCATTTAGCATAATTAGAGCCGCTTCTTTGATTTTTCTTTTTTTACCATCCGTTTCTTTTAGGACTACATTTGAATTATTCCATTGAACCCTATGTTCATTATCCCATGCGTGTTTACAGATTTGAGATCTATCAAATTCTCTATTTTTAATATAGGATTGATGTTCACTTATTCTAATATTTAATGGCCTTGATGATTCACCTAAATAAAACTGATCGCATTCACAAGGTATTTTATAAATGCAATTCTTTGTCCTTTCTTGTTCATTGTTAGGTTTGGTTTTGGACTAAATAGATCTCAACGTGTTTGTTGTTTTGAATGTTGTTGAAATGTTGAATTTATTTCCTATCCTTTTAAGTTTTTCTGATAATCCTTTTATGTACGGTATTGTTATTTTCCTCATATTATTCCTTGTGTATGCTGTAGGATCTTGTTCTAAGTTGTTCTGTTCTATTCGATCGATTGTTGAAAATTCCTTATTTATAAACGATAAAGGATAATCATTTTTTATTAAAACAGATGTTAACAAATGTTTTTCCTCCAAGAACGAATTTTCGTTAGAACAAGTAATTTTGGCTCTATCGTATAAGGTAGATTTTGTAGCTTTGGGTCCCATTTTACGAATTGGTGATAAAGTGACATTTTGGGACAAGGTACCCGTTCTAATTTCATTAAGAGCCAGTTGTAACTGGTTTTCTAAATATTTAAATCTTTGGCAGGGCTTTTTTGCGGATAACTTTATTGGTTTTATTGAACTTTTACTAGGGTAGCTTTAAGAACGCTGTATTTCTTGGCTGCTCCATTTTGGCTAAAACTACCACTTCGAGCTTATCTAATAGCGGAGGACTGGTCCTCAGAATATTTTCGTTTGCCCATTTATGAAATAAAATCAAATTAGGTAGAAAAAAAAACAATAAATACCAGTTGCTCATTCACTGGGACAAGTTTAAAATCCATGGCACCAAATCTATTTACTGGATACGAATGTTAGATGTATTATAGAGATACACAGTATTATTTAAGGGTAACCACTTGATGTTTTTTAACACAATTTTACGCAATATTCAAAATTGACTGAGGGTCCTAGTAAATGAACAACCATTCATTTACTGGAATTCACAAAAATATTAAGCTCCAGTGAATGAACACTCTAAAAACCCTCATATATACAGTATCATAAAGCTTATTTTAACATATATATTCCAAATTTTAAAAATTGGATATTTTTGTGTTCATGTTTATTGAACACAGAATGCCGAGGAAGACTATAGACTATACTAACTTAAGATAGAATAGTTTTCGTTGGAAAATGTAAAGATATACTAAGTCAGGATAATATCAAAGTGCAATTTTTTTGCCTAAACATGGTGAAACTTTTAGAACTTTGTTCGTTGAAAGATATCACTGTAATCTAATTCTTCAGGGGTGTAACTCAAAACCGCCAAAAATTGAGTTAGTACAGTCTTCGCTGGACGAGTCCAAGTGATTTAGCAGTAACCACGCAAATTTTATTAGTTACATACACTTCATCTAATTTACATACCGATGCACGTCATTGGCGTCATAGCCCGTGACGTCACATGATACCAACACGAAATATTTAGGTTATAGGTGTGTTCTTTTTTAGAATCACTTTGCCGAGTACACTGGCATTACAGTCACTAGACATATTTTATTATTTACTTTAATATATAAAGAAATACACAATAATGAGTTTTATTTAATTTGTATAAATGCATTATAAAGCGAGATGAGAAAAGGCAGCAAATATTTGATTTCACGCAAACAAATCCTATGTATCTCTTGACACGTATTTCGACCTAATAGGTCTCGTCAGAAGAGCTATTCATAGGGGTTCTCAACGTGAAAAATCAATATTTTCTGCCTTTTAAGAAGCAACAATAACATGGCTTTAATACGGACGCAGTAGCGACATCTAATTAAACAATCGTAAAATAGTTTCGAAACACAATTCAGATTTCTGCTTTGTAATCTGAGCCTTCTAAGAATTGCAAGAATAACATAGGATTTGTTTGCGTGAAATCAAATATTTGCTGCCTTTTCTCATTTTATTCGGATATACTCTGTGGGAGTAAGAGAAACACAATTCGCTAAGGATTTCTGCTTAGTTGTAAAAGACATGTCGTGGAATGCAAATTTTAGATTCCCCATGTCTCTTTTAACATCTTTTATCAACGTCTGTTTGACTTGCAATTCTTAGAAGGCTCAGATTATAAAGCAGAAATCTGAATTGTGTTTCGAAACTATTTTACGAATGCATTATAAAGCGTTTTTATAAAGAACATTTGTTCGGAACACACTGTAACTGTAATCGAACTAAGGTAAAATTTTGGCATAAATTGTTAACACTTATTTGACAGTTGCCGTGTTGACACTTTTTGTACTTTATTATTTTGAATTTTAAAGTGAATACCTCTTGTTTTATATTTTTACCTATATAATAAAATCTGTTCTTTTTAGAACAAAATAAGTGTGTTTTCATTTCAAAACTGTCACGTAAGAATTTAAATAGTCGTTGTAAAGAGATGGTAATACTTTTGCAATAATTATGTGATCTATTTGATTTAAAATGGAGTCAGGATTTTTTTATACTTTGGCAACTATGTCAACTTCGATCTCTGACGTAGATAATGACATGCATCGGTATGTAAATTAGATGAAGAATATATTATATTGCGGAGTGATATTGTTCGCATTTCCGTAAATATCCTATTACTATCCTCTCATTTCTAGTTTCCTCTCTTTTTTACATGCATTTCGTTGATTAATCAATTTACTCGTATTAGAAGAAAAAGTTGTGAAATTTAAAATAAAATGTGTAGATTGATGCGAGTTTTTCGCAACAGGATAATTTTCAACTGTACACTCTTCTTCTATTTTATTTATAATAATTTAAATTATTAAATATTTTTGTTTTAAATATATTTTTAGGTCCGCCAAAGATACAGTTTCAAAATGACACATTCCAATTATATTCTATAAATAGAAGACTATGTCCAGAAATAGATCCTCTTAGAGATACAATATTTGAGTTGTATACAAGGTAATCTTTGTTGTTATATAAAAAAGCACGTACAGAAAAATCTCATGTATTATTTATAGATTAAATCCTGAAGTACCCCAGATTCTACGTACTGGTGATGTTGCAGCGTTACAAAAGTCAAATATAAACTATAATTGGCCTACGGTTATGTTCTTTCATGGATTTTTGGAATCATCACAGTCTGATAATGCGGTACAAATCAGAAATGGTAAATATACTTTTAATACTAAAGGTATTCATCATCACCATCATCAATACACATACTATAGCATCCACTGCTCAACGTAGATCTTTCTCAGTTGTCTACAGTGATATCGGTCTTCTTCTTCTTCTTCTTTATGTGCCTTGTCCGTTCCGAACGTTGGCAATCAACATGGCCATTCTGACTTTGTTTACGGCAGATCTGAATAGTTCAGCAGATGACAATCCGAACCATTGCCGCAAGTTTTGGAGCCACTAGTGTCTTCTCCTCCCTGGACCCCTTCTGCTGTCTATTTTCCCTTGAACGATCAGCTGTAGAACTCTATATTTAATATGTCTCACAACGTGACCCAAGTATTCCAACTTTCTTTTACTTCTCTCTTTACCTATCCGGCGTAGTACCTCTTCGTTGGTCACGTGCTCAGTCCAGGATATAAGTAATATACGTCGGTAAGCCCACATTTCGAAGGCCTCTACTTTTTTCATCAATGTTGCGGTCATTGTCTACGCCTCCATTCCATATAACAAAACCAAATACATAATAGTTCAGAAGTCGAATTTTGAGAGGTACGGTGAGGCTTTTAGAGGTGAAAATTTGCTTCATGCTAGTGAATGATGCTCTTGCCTTTTCTACTCTTATACATACGTATTTCCTTTGCTTGATCCCAATTTTAGTTAACTGTTGTTCCCAAGTAGATGTACGAATCGACGTGTTCAATTCTTTCATTGTCTAATATCAGTTGCTGTGGTGGTTGTTGGGTTTTGCTTACTAACATCCATTTGGATTTTGTGATATTTAGTCTGAGTCCGTATTGTGCACTTGTTTTTTGTAGCTTACTCATTAGACAACTCAGTTCCTCCATGCTACTTGCTAGAATTACAGTGTCATCAGCATACCTTATGTTATTAGTTATTTCTCCATTTATCTTTATGCCTTCTGTACTTTCCTCCAGCGCTGTCTTAAATACTTCTTCTGAGTATATATTAAAGAGAATAGGAGACAAGATACAGCCCTGTCATATCCCTTTCTTGATCTCAATTTTATTGGTCAGTATAGATCCTACTTTCACTTTAGCTGTTTGACCCCAATAGAGACTCGTTATTGTTCGAATGTCTCTGTAGTCGACTCCAATCTTATGGAGAACTTCAATTATCTTTTCGTGCTTTACGTTATCGAATGCTTTTGCGTAGTCTATAAAGCATATGTACACGTCTTTGTTCATATCTCTGCAGCGCTGGATGAGTACCTGTAGACTAAAAAGTGCTTCTCTTGTCCCAAGAGAATTCTGAAACCCAAACTGCGAATCTCCAATGTTATCCTCGCATTTTTTGCTTATTCTGTTGTAAATAACCTTGGTGTATGCGTTCGAAATGTGGTTAATTAGACTTATGATCCGATGTTGATCACAAGACTTTGCTTTTGGTTTTTTCGGTATGGCAACAAAAGTTGACTCTAGCTAGTCTTCAGGAAACTCCCCGCTGTTATAAATATTGTTAAAGAGTCTGACGAGTGAGTCTAGAAATTCACTGTTTGTTTCGCACAGCATTTTCAATACTTCCCCGTATACGATATCGTTGCCTGGTCTTTTGTTATTTTTAACACTTTATAGCATTCTCCACTTCTGATTTTAGAATAGAAGGGCCAGTATCATCATTGCTTAATGTATACCCACTAGGACGGTCATCATTAAACAGTTGTTCCACTGTATCCCAGATTCTAACTATTTTGTCGGGGTCTAGTTGTAGATTTCCATTATAATCGTTTCAGCCCTTTCGATAAAATATTGTAGCTTTTCTTTGTTGTGAGTTCCTTTATCTTCTTATGCATATTGTGATAGTCGTATACCTTTTCGCACTGTTTCGATTTCTTCGCATCTCTCCGAGAACCATTTCTCTTTAATTTTTCTTATCTCAGCTTTCCGTCTATATATCCGTCTCTCTTCCATCATGTCAAAGATTTCTGCAATCATCCAGTCCTTCTTTTTTTTCTAATCAGGTAGTAAAAACTTAGTGCTTGAAGTCCTAATGTCTTCTTTAATTTCACTCTACCCTTTCCAGCGGTTCATTGTTATTTTTAAGGATTTTTGATATTTCTGTATTTAAATTCTCCTGCATCTGTTGTTTAATATTATTGTTGGAAAGCTTCCTAATATCTAACGTTTCGGGCCTGTTCTTTACATTTCGCTTTTTTTAACTTTACTTCAAACCTACATACCACCGGATTGTGGTCTGATGCTACGTCCGCACCCTGGTAAGTTTTTTACGACTTTGATGGAGTTTCTAAACCTGATTGGTGTAGCGATATAATCTATTTGATTGGTCTCTGTGCTGTAGATCTAATTTGTTGTAATTTATACCATCTTTATACCGTCTTTATACCATCCACCCACTTGTCCAAGATCTAACTCTATCTCCATACTTATACCCATCGAGTTAGAATCTCTTGAGAAGGCATCACGTGACTAAAAATAGAGATAGTGCATAATAATGGTTTCTGTTCTCAACGTAGTTGAAAAAGCAGAAGCAATGTTAATAAGTAATCTTCAGAAACAACGTTCCACAGGTTAGTATACAAATATGTAAACAAAGTAATGGCCCGTACTTCAGAAAATAAATTAATAGTTTTCATAAAAAACCTTATAAGTAAGGTAGATCGTGCTATTCTTGAGAATACTCAAATATCTTTATCCTAAATATCTTAAAATTTCTTATTAACTACTGCAACATAATTATTTTTTATTTCTACACAGTATTTCCATTGTGATATTCAGCAGATATTCAATTTTTTTTAAATGCCTTTTCTAACTTTGTTCATTGAACTTAATTATCATCATCAGCCTATAGTCGTCCACTGCTGAACATAGGTCTCCTCAAAAAACCTCCATTCAGATCAATCCACTACAAGATTTTTTTGGTCCACCTATTATCCTTCATTCTAGCGACGTGTCCTGCGCACCTCCTTTTAATTTTGGTTATGTGTTTAATAATGTCTTCTACACCACTTTTTCTACAGATTTCTTGGTTTCTTACCTATCTCGCAACGTTATGCCCAACGATGATCTCTCCATTCTACGTTGCGTCACTTGTAGTTTTCGAGCAGATTTCCTTGTTAGGGTAAGTGTCTCTGCGCCATATGTAAGGACAGGCAGGACACACTGATTAAAGGCTCTTCTTTTTTTCTTGAAACTATATTAAGTGTCATTCTTGAACTAAATTTCGTAATCAAATATATAAGTTGTAGAACGAACGTGTTTCATTTATTTCATACCCTATATTCATTTTACCCTTTAAAATATTATTTATATTATTACCACTTTCAGATAAAACTTGTCATTTGACTGTATTTATTTATCTTTATGTACAATATGTCGTGTTTTTAGTGTTTACCGCGGGATAAATAAATCATAGTTTATTAAAAATTTATTGCACTTTTTTAGATTATGATTAAATCTTTAATATGAGGTTGAATGCTCGAAGAAATGAACTTTAGGCAAATATCGAGCACAAGTTTAATAATCAAATCTTGCCCAAGTCCTTTTACTATCTACAGCATCATCAGGGGCTTTCGTCAAATTTGAACTATCCATCAAGCGTAGAATGTAATACACATGAGAGTGGACATAAATTGTACATAATACTACATTAACGCAAGACAAACAGTTTAAAATTATTAAAATTATTCTAACGCTCTACATTCTTGTCGGCAACCGGAGAGAGAGAGAGAGAAAGGGTTAACAATGAATGTCAAGAAGATGAAATTCATGATTATTTCAAAAAACAAAGATTGAATGCAAACCTGTACATTCACAATAACGAAATCGAAGGGGGTGCACAAATATAAATATTTGGGAACAAGTGTTAATAACAACAATGACATCACAGAATAAATAAAAACTAGAATTAAAAAGGCTCGAATGTCGAAAGGACATTCTGGGAAGTCATGACATTAACTTAAACCTGAAAATGACATTGGTTAGATGCTACATCTTTTCGTTACTGACGAAAGAGAGACTGAGACTTGGACTTTAAACAAGAGCAATACCGATAAACTAGAGGCCTCCGAAATGTGCATATATAGAAGAATTTTGAAAATACCTTGGACAGACAAAATAACAAATAGTGTAAGTTCTTCAAAGAATGAACAAAGAACGGGAGCTGTTGATCACCATCAAGAGAAGAAAGTTAAAATATCTTGGTCGTGTGATGAGAAGGAATAAGTACCGATTGCTCCAGTTAATTAAGGAAAGAGACTGGTTTCAGTGCACATCTAACCAATAATTTAAAGCAGCAGCTTCAAAGATACTAATAGCAATGATGATTCCCAAACTCCGTAGCGGAGAAGGCAGTTGAAGAAGAAGAATTTCAGATTATTCTAGTAAATAACAACTTGTATATATGATCCGTGCTGATATTAGTTTAGTTGATAAAATATTATCGTACTATGAGCTTATAAATAAATGTATTTACATAAATTAGAAACGCTCGATTAATTGTTAAACAGGTGACATTATTAAAACTTATTAGAATGAGGTAATGAGAATATAGATACATTTTAAACAAATAATGAAACTGATTAAAGATAATAAGAATATACTTTGAGACAAAAGGGACATAAAGTCAGATAGTTTTAGTAGTTTTGTATGCTTATGGGTATCCATCAGAATTGGTGTTAATATTTCCTCAGCATTTTCGAATAATTTATAATAATTCTATTTGAATAGCCATTTATATTAATTTTGCTGGTAACATGGTCATATTTAGTTGGGCGGCTTATTTAAAGAACTGAAAGAGCTGTCTCTGAAGATCATCTTCTGATTCGACAATAATGATGTATCATCTGCGTATCACACCATACCAATTTTTTTATTGCCCATTCTGTATCTGAAATTGAGAGATGTTACTTTGTTTATAATTTTGCCCATGAGTAGGTTAAACAAGAAAGGGCTTAAACTGTCGCCTTGTTCTAATTCCTCCTGGTGTTGAATTATTTTCAGTGAATGGGTCTCGTGTTCTAACTTTTGTTAGATTGTTGTTATTAAGGTTATGGACTATCTTTGTTATGTTGATCAGTATTTTATTTTCTATTAATGTATTTAGAATGTCCAGGCGAACACTAACAAACGCCTTTGTCAGATCAATGAAGCAAATATACACTCTCATGCTGTACTCTATAGCTTTTTCTTTTGTTTGTTACTATATTACGAATAATGCATCTATTATATGACCGCCCTCCTGTAAAACCTTGTTGTTCTTCAGCATTAGTGACTTTGTTTTTCAATTTGTCCTTAAGAATACTCGTCAAAAGTTTCATCGTTGTATTTAAGAGGATTATTCTTCTGCAGTTTTGTGGGCCAGTTTTTTGTCCTATTTTAAATATGGGGATTGTGTCCTTTACTTTCCCCAGTAAAGGACTTAAGGCGTCAGATCTACAAAGCATCCGCTTTGTCAGGATGTCAGGGTCTGCAAATCCGTATATGCACACAGATAGTAACATTAGAATCTACAAGACTTGCATACGACCGATCATGACATATGGCATAGAAGTGTGCGAAGATACCAACAAAACGAAACAGATGCTAAGGTTGCCAAACTGAAAACCCTAAGAACAATAATGGGCAAAACAAGAAGAGACAGGGTGAGAAATACAAACGTTAGAGAGCAGTGCAAATTTCAAGATATTGTAAGATGGGAAAGGCAGCGTAAGAGGATGTGATACAATCATGTAAGACGAATGGATGAGAATAGACTCCAAAAAATTGCCCTAGAAAACAGCCCACCTGGTTCAAGATCTCCCGGAAGACCACCTAAAAGATAGAAGGATAGTTGGCAATCTACCTCCAGGAAATTAACCAGAGGCAGCTTCAGAATTAAACAGATCAAGAGATCTCCAAAAAGTAGAAGAAGAAGAATGGGTATTGTAAAAAATAAATGTTTTTCCGCATGCACTTCTTTGTTGCTCCACCATCAAAACAATTTTCATTACTTTTTTCCAAAATTAATAATGTTTTTCCTGTGAACTATTTAAGTAACAAATAATTATTTTTCTTTAATTTCAGCCTATCTGGACATCGGTGATTACAATGTTATTCTAGTAAATAACGAAAGATTACTAGCAGGCTTGGATTACTTAACGGCTGCTTTAAACTGTGAACCGATTGGAAAATTTTCCGCAAAATTTGTAGATTACTTAGTGGTCCAAGGTCTACAACTGTCTTCACTGCATATTATCGGCATGAGTCTGGGAGCTCAAATAGCTGGATTGTTGGGAAAAAATATAAATTCTGGAAAAGCTGCACGAGTAACAGGTAATTATAAATATAGAAGTCTTAGAAGCTTTAATGTATGTAGTATTTAGGCTAAACTGGGAATGCTAATTAAATATAAGAGTAAACAATAAGAACATCCAAAAAGGTCCCCAAGTTCAGATATCTTGGTAGTTGGAAAACTGAAGATCTAGATCCAGACATAGAGATACGTAGCAGGATTGAGAAAGCCAGACCAGCATTTACTAATATGAGAACCTTGCTAAGCAACAGCAGCCTACGATATCGAACTTAACGGTTCGATATCGCTTTGTAAAATGTTACATTTACTCCATACTGCTATATGATGTAGAAAGCTGGACCATAATGGCCAAAGTGATGAACCGATTGAAGGCCTTTGAAATGTGGGTATTTAGAAGACTACTTAAAATTCCCCAGACAGATCACAGAACAAATGGGATTATACACGATCTTATATGATTATACAAGATCGAGAGGAGTATGCCAGAATTGTCGCCAACATTTACTAATTGGATAAGGAACCTAAAAAGAAGAAGAAGTGAATGCTGAAAAGAACTCAATAAACTGGTGGAGTGTGACAGTGTCACATCAGTATAGATGATAGGCGATCGGACATGAAGAAGTCTATTAAGTAATGAAAAGACAATCAACTAAATACTTGTCAAAATATTTATTGGACGGACATAGTTATGGTTCTAATATGGCTTTAAATACTTCAGAAAATATACAGAAATGAGCTCAGCTCAGAGCCATCTTTATTACTGGTCATGCAACAACCAACGCATAAAATAAAATTGTTTTATGAAACAATTTTTTGGAGACCAAGTAACTTCACAAATATGTATTACCCATCAAGTAGACCTAAAAAGCTGGTACATGGTTCAGGCACAGAATAATAAACAATTAGAATGCCCACTCTCAGATGCCGCCTTTGAAGTTTTTCAGCACGCGCGCGCCATGTTTTAGAAGGAAACACATAACACAGACATATGATTTGTGAGGTTATGTAATTGTTTATATTTATGTTTAATTATATTATATTTATGTTATTATATTTAACAATGTTAATATAATTGTATAGTATGTCTATGATTGCCGTAAGTCAACTAAACCGGGTTAATTTTTCATACCACATAAACAACACTGGTTCCCTTTAAAACATGGCGGAACGACTGCGCGAACGAGATGCGCGTACTTCCGAATTTTCCATGGAGAGTGGGCATTCTAATTGTTTATTATTTTGTGGTTCAGGTATTATAAATAAATTAAAAATGTACAATATGTCAATGGATGTCCATGCTTCACTTGTAACCAATGGTAAATACTATTAAGGAATAAGCCAACTAAAGATAAATACGTTATTGACGTTTTATTTCACTTCGGAAATGTTTCAAATACAAATCGTTTGTATTTTGAGAACGATTCCCGAAGTGGAATTGAACGTCAATAACTATTTTATCTTAGTGTGCTTTCCATTCGTTACAGGTGGATTCAGGTATTTTATTACTAACATGTTTTATGTCTACATAAAACGATATTTCCCATTTCTTAATTCAAAAATTAGGTACTTCTTTTAGGCCTAGACCCAGCCGGACCATTTTTTGAACTCCTACCAAAATCCCAAAGAATCGGTGTTGGAGACGGTAAGTTCGTTGATATTCTACACACTAATGCCTACTTTAATGGAGATTTCAATTCTATTGGAGATTTGGATATATGGTATAATGGTGGAATAAAACAACCAGGCTGTTCACTTGTCGACATTCTGAATAGAAAGGGATTGTCTCTACCGGAGTTGGGTAAAATTTGTTTCATTTTTTTACATAGATGGTGTATGACTAATTTTTTATAGAGTTATGTCCAAGAATTTGAGGTGTAACTAGCTCGCAACATACATACTCAACATACTTAAGCTAGAAAAGATAGTGTGAGGAAATTAAGGTACGCCAACCATCACCCAATCCATGTCATCATTGACGGTATAAATGAACCGTCCTCTGTTTCCAGTGGCAGTAGTGAACTGATTGGTGATCATGCATAGTGTCTGGGGGCTTGGGAGACTGAGACCTCGGAAGCATTGAAGAAGACATCTAAAGAAGATGTTGAAAACTTGGCTTAATGATAATCGACGGTGTTCAACCCGAAAGATTGTTGAGTTTAATATTCATTCTTGTAATTCAATCTTCGCTTGTCCACTGCTGGACATACATCTTCCCCATAATTTTCCAACTGCTGCGATCATTTGCCTCTTGCATCCAATTCCTATTCCAATGTGTTGGTGGATGACTTCTTCTTTGGTAGGCATCATCTCTTGGCTTCCATTTCAGTATCCGCTTTCTTCATCTGTTATCTGCCAATCTAGCCACGTGATCTGTCCAGTTCCACTTTAGTATTGTTATTCTCTCTTGTCCCTTGTTTCTTGTCTCGCAATAAAACGCCCAACATATCACGCTTCCTCCTCGCCCTTTGAACCATATAAACTTTTCACTGTTCTTTTATCAAAGTTGCCGTTCTCGCTCCGCAAGTCAATACTGGTAAAAGACATTGATTAAAGGTTTTTTTTAAAGACATATTGGTATGTCGAACGATTTGGAAATTTGGTTTAACTTTCCGAAAGCTGCCAAGTTAGTTTGGATCATGTTCCTACGCATATATCTTCGCTGACTACAAGATTTGTCATCATCTAGGTTCTAGATATATTTATTTTTAATCTCCCTTCTATCTAAGAAAGATGGAGGTAATTTAGAGGTTCTTTGGCCTCATTTATCATATCAGCTATTAGCACAATATCATCTGCAAACCTCAGTTGGCGTAACTTTTCTTCATTTATGTTTATGCCCTTTTCAGTCAGTTTTGCTTTAGAGCAGAATAAATATTAACATATAAAAGATGCTGAAGCTACGACAGAAGACATAGAAGACAAAAAACATTAAACACATGCAAGTATAAGACATGGTAACACGAATGTAGAGCGTCAGAATAATTTTAATAATTTTAAACTGTTTGTCCTTTTGTTAATGTAGTGTTATGTACAATTTATGTCCCATTTCATGTGTTTATACATTCTACGCTTGCTGGATAGCCAACATTTGACGAAATGCCCCTGATGATGCTGTAGATAGCGAAAGTACTTGAGCAAAATTTGATTAAACTTGTGCTCGATATTTGCCTTAATTTTCAAAGTTCATTTATTCGAGCATTCAACCTCATATCAATTAATAAAAAAATGCCTAACCTCTGCAACGAAGAGGAAGACAAAACTGAGAGAACTTTCTGCACTGATAACAAATTTCTTTTATTCAGCAAACAAATACATTTCTTAAATATAATTAATGTGAATCTAATATTCGTGTTTAGCTAAATATTTTTTAAACGATTTTTTTAGTATTTTGCAACCATTTTCAAGCATACAGAACTTACGTCCAATCACTGTATGAACCAACACGATTTTTGATAACAAAATGCACAAGTTATCCCGCTTACCTTAATGGAGCCTGTTCAAATGGAAATACTACCTATATTGGTGAATATATTGACCAAACGTAAGTTACATATTTACAAAACGAAGATGATGATTATTTTAAATTGGACTATCTTTTTTTTAGCCAAAGAGGAAATTTTTACATAAAAACTGGCCCTACAGCTCTAAATATTTAAAAATGTATTAATATTAAGCAATAAAATTATATTTGAATGTGTTTTTTGAATTTACTTTGCAATTAATGTACGATTAAAGTTTCCATCCAATACCACGACTGCCATCCTTGTTTTCCTTTTATTTTTACTATTATCACCAATATTAACAGCATCTGTTAGTTATCAAAAGTAAGTTAGCATAGTTAGCAATGGTGAGGTACTTCGGCGCATGCGTAAACAAAAAATTACTTAGCATAATCAAAGAGAAAGGGGAAAGAATTGCAAAATCGACGACAAAAAAGGACAATTATATCTCAGAAGAAGTAGAAAACCTGATGAAGACAAGAAGAAGCCTACTTGAACAGGGCAAAAAATACAGTAGAATATACTGAAATCAATCAAACAATTAGAAAAAACATAAAAGAAACCAAGAGAAAAACGCAGGAAGCAAAGATTGAAAGAGTAATCCAGCAGACAAAAATATGAAATGCTTAAAACAACGACTCGGTAAAACTCAGATAAATGAAATGACAAACAGCAGGAACAACCATTAATATGAACAATAATAAGTTGACACAAGAATACTATACGCACCTATACAGAACAAGACATAAACCACAGCAAGAAATTCTTAAACAATTAAACACAAAAATAAAGAATATAAACTCTGACCTACAACCAGAGATAAGTAAAACAGAAATCAAGAAAGCAATTCAAGAATTAAAAACCATAAGTCACCTGGAAAAGATGGAATAACTGCAGAGATGCTGAAGAGAGGAGGGAAAACAACTAGAGAAGTCCTACATATCCTCATGAACAGAATATTGACCACAAAAGAAATACCCGATAGCTGGAACGATGCGGAGACACTATTAATGTTCAAAAAAGGTGACCGAAAGAACTTAGAAAACTATAGACCTATAACATTACTAAGTGTTGTATTTAAACTACTAACGAAGATCATGACAAATAGACTAACAACTAAGCTTGACGGATACCAAGCAAGAGAACAAGCGGGATTCAGAAAGGGTTTTAGTACTAGCGACCATCTGCTAACAGTAAAAATACTGATTGAAAAGTCGAACGAGTATCAAATCCCATTATACATGGCATTCATAGACTTCCGAAAGGCGTTTGACAGCATAGAACATTGGGCCATCAAAAACTCACTACAGAACGGCAGAATTGATTACAGGTACACGGACCTAATAACAAACATATACAAAAATGCGAGTACCACAATAAAATTGACGAACGAACACGCTACAGAACCAATAAAATTCGAAAGAGGAATCAGGCTATGGAAAGACATATTTAAAAAATTAGAATGGGATACATACGGAATAAGAATAAATGGAAAGCTCTTGAACCACTTGAGATATGCAGACGATATAGTCCTGATAACAGATAAGAAGGAAGAGTTACAGAAGATGGTTGAGGAACTAGATAGAAAAGCGACAGAGGTAGGTCTAGAGATGAACTATAGTAAAACCAAGACTATGACAAACCAAGAAGACCAATTAGAAATAGTAGTCAAACAGAATAAATTAGAGCAGGTGGCAGAATACATATACCTAGGACAGATAATAAAGCTGAACAGGGACAATCAAACAGAAGAAATAAAAAGAAGAACTAGACTAGCATGGGCCTCATTTGGTAAACTATCATATATTCTAAAAAATAAAAAGTTCCCTCAATATATGCGAACGAAAGTATTCAACCAGTGCATTTTACCAGTTATCAAGTATGGCTCACAAACATGGACTTTCACAAAGGAGAACATCGACAGGATATCCAAAACACAAAGAGCAATGGAAAGACAGATGCTGGGTATCGGTCTTAAAGACAGGAAAAGAAACTCATGGATCAGAGAAAAAACAAAGGTGAACGATGTATCAAGACAGGTTGCAAAACTTAAATGGAACTTCGCCGGTCACACTCTCCGGCAAAAAGATGAAAGATGGAATAAGCGAATTCTACACTGGACGACCATGGGAAAAGAAAAGAAAAAGAGGAAGACCACAGATGAGATGGACTGACGACCTTAAGAGAACGGCAGGAAAGGACTGGATGCAGATCGCCCAAAATAGAGACCAATGGAGATTAACAGGGGAGGCCTATGCCCAAGAGTGGGCGTTTAAGGCTGATTAGATAGATAGATAGAATCAAAGAGAGCAAAATACAATACGTGGGTTATGTGATGGGAGGTAAAAGACATAAATTACTCCAAATCATAATAAAAGGTAAAGTTCAAGGCAAAGGATCAGTTAGAAGACGCCAGAACTCTTGGCTGAAAGACCCGAGGAAATGATTTGACCGCTCATATACAGAAATCTTTCGTGTAGCAGTATTCAAGCTACAATTGCCATTTGGATCGCCAACTTTCGAAAGGAGACGGCGCAATAAGAAGTTAGTTTAAGAGATGAGCTTTGACCAAAAATGAATGCAGAACAATCTCCAACAAAATTTGTAGCCGTAGCGTGAATTTAATCCTTCGGTACACGGGTGATACGTTGATATACGTAAGAACGGGTTGGGTCTGAGAAGCCCAAAAATTAAACTAAGAATTTTTTATGAATACGGTCGGTTTGCGTTCGACCATTTTGCGCCTTTACCTGAAATCGACCGGTTTGCGCTTTGCAATTTTCATAATAGAAATATCTAACTACTATAATTTCCTTAATCGTCCGATTTGCGCTCTCTTGCAATATAATTTTAATTTCATTCTACAATAATAGTCTGGTGAACCTGAAATGAACAAACTAACATGTCAAATAAACAGAAACATCTTTTTCCTTAGATTTGAAAAAAAATGTCAAATCAAAACTAACAAAATTATTAAATTTTTCTAATACTGTCAAACAACAGAGTGTTCTTTAATCTTTAATACCTCTGTTTATAATCCTTCTACCTGAAAGTTAATTGTTTAGATATAATTAGTAACTAGAATTCCCAAAATGAGAGATCGCTGGAATTAACTTTCTTTGCTACCTGATAATGCGAACTGGTAACTACTTAATTCATTAACAAAGACTATGGTAACAGAAAAAATTACCTAAAAATTCTACGTGATAATGACCATGTTGATGATCAATCATTTCTATTGCGTTCTTTGAGATAGTAGGATCAAGAATTATTTTGAATCAGTGTTAGTTAAAGTGAGTTAGTGTTTTAAAAATGGATGTGCAAATTATTGAAACTTCGAAGGGAAAACCATGTGCATTGTATAAAGGGTACAGTTTTCGTATGAAAAAAACAAATAAAGATGGTTCGGTTTTTTGGAGTTGTTTGAAAGAGAAAACTGAAAATGTCAAGGCCACATAATTTGGACGCAACAACAAAACTTTTAAATTAGAAGACTTACAACAATTATTAGAACATTCCTTATCGAAAGTAACTCCAGAAAATTGAAAAATGCTGCTAGTCATGCTCACAAGGAAGAAAATAAAATGTGGACAATCGATTTGGATTTCGTATGGGGCTTGGTACAAGGGAGGCATTATTTCGCCTCCATATATTTACTACAAAAATGCCAAAATCAGCGAAAAGACGTGTTTCTCTGTTTTATTGACTACGAAAAAACATTTGATCGAGTAAAACACACAGAACTCGTAGAAACCCTAACACAACATAGTATAGACCACAACACTGTAGCACTTAAACTATATTCGATCAAATGGCGTCTATCAAAATAGACAATAGACAAAGAGACCCAGTACATTCTGCTCGATAACATATACAGGCAAAATAACAACAAAAATTGCCAAACACATAAAAAAGAAAGGAATAACACCAGCTTTCCGAACAAATAACAACCTAGGCAAATATATTAAAAATAACAAGAGCCAAAATAGAAAACACTTAAATAGTGGTGTGTATAAACTTCAATGTGGCTACTGCCCAAAAACTTACATCGGTCAAACTGGTAGAAACTTTGATAAACCAATAGCAGAACATAAAAAGGCTTTCAAGAATAGAAAAACAGATTCGACATACGCACTTCAACTTCTAGATCATAATCATTCTTTTAATGACAAATTAAAAATTTGTCTTCTTACAAACTCCTTCTGATGACGGGTAGACCCAGAAACACGTGTCACGGAGTGGTAAGAGACTCAAATTAAATCGAAACGCAACATTCTTCGTTAATTAAAAATTCTTCACATTCAAAATAAAGGCCTTAAGCTATCTTTGTTAGAATCTATGGAAATCAACAAATTAAAAAACACAGATATAATTCTGAATGACCAACTTGAGACGAACAGCTCTCCCATCCTCAACCTATTTCATTAGTGACTATAAATTTGTAAACCCAAGCCAAAAATAGATCACTTGAGAAAGGCAATCAGCCGAAACAGCTCTAGTGATAAGATTTAAAATAAATTTTGTGGAAGTTTGAAAACAAAGTTTTCAGTGTTTTATTGTTACATAAAATGAATTTCCATCAAGTAACGGTTAAATCCATCAATTATTTAAAAGAGGAGTTTGTCAGGGCTGTGTACTTTCTCGGCTATTATTTAATGTATATTCCGATAAGATCTTCCAAAATGCCCTCGAAAATATTGAAGAAGGAATAAAAATCAACGGAGAATACCTAAACAACTTTAGACGACGCCGTCATTATTGCGGACAGTGCTGAGCGTTTACAACGACTTTTGAATATCATAACCAGAGTGGGAGATAGTTTGGTAACATATAGATAGATAACTACAAATTCAGAGTATGCACATTATTATTGTTGTCTGATATAACGAGATCAGCTTATAGCGAGGTAATTAGTCTGCCATGTCAGTTCTCGTTATAGAGACTGTCTACTGTGTTACTGACTATTCTCGTTTTCAGATCTAGTTTGTCATTTGTCAGCTTTGACTATTCTATAATTTATTTTTTCAATTCTTTCTTATTTGTAAAACGTAGATACTAATTTACCATTTTTAAAAAATACTTGTAATCTGAATATGTATTAAATGATTGCGTTGATAAAGTTTGTCTGATTGATTTCTTTTGACATTATCAGTATT